CCTCTGGGTACAAACAGAGCTATAGAAAGTCCTTGACTGATTGGAGAGAAGAGGCCAGTGCAGAACAGCACTAGAGAATCTCCTGGCTGTATCCCTCCTTCATGTACCAGGGATTTCTAGCCCACAGCAGGCTACAAATGTTACCAAGATCTCCTTGATAAACCTGTTTCCCTCAGTGACAAAGACAGACCTATTCCCAGAGGCTTCCCCCAGTGGAAATGTCCCCCTGGGCTTTTAGCTGCACAGCCAGGGACAATTAGCAGACCACAGAATAGGAGCAATCAGGGGAGGGAGTTGAGTGCAGAGAAACATCGGTTTATAATTAGGTGACCTAATCACCTGCATAAATTGTGTATTTCTTATGATCGATGTGCTAAACGGCTCAGTTTTAATTAAGTTCTGCTGACTCGTTCTCTTTGAAGACTCACTGATGTGTTATTCACAGCTCCCAGAATTAACAATGGCCAGAAGAGTCACTTGAAAGAGGTAGCAGTCCAGGCTGCCTTCATCCGCCTCTCCTGCCCCAGGTGCTCTTGTCCATCTCAAAAGATGGAATTGCTGGGCTGAGCTTGCTGACTTCTTTGACAAGAACCTGGCCTGGACCAGGAAACTAAGGAATGTTTCACTCTCTACCTAGTGACCCTTCCTGGTTGAAAATATGGGCCTGATGATCCCTAATCCTCTCTGAGCAGGAATACAAAACACTCTGGCCTTTTCTTCTATGAAGGACCCCATCCTGGGCCTGGAACAGCTTCCCCAGTGGGCTCAGATTTTCAATACCTTGTGAAGAAATCCCTGAGGTCCCAAAGGTATATAGGCTGCATCATGTTCCAGCTTCTCCTCCATCCACAATCTGTTCTTCCTCTGGCACCTGCTTCTGGCTCTTGTAACCATTATGATCTATCACCTTACCTTCCTGGCCTCTAGCAACCTCTAATAGCACATGATGGGAAAGTTAAAGCATTGATCTCCATCCTTCCTGAACTGTCCCCTTGGACGCTGCACTTCCCTCTCCCTCCCTGCCCTGTAGTTGACTCCCAGGAACCCCCAGAGAATTTCAACACAATCCCCACTGATGACATCTCCCTCCTTCCCAGGCACAGGCAGAGAGGCAAGTATAGCAAAGTTTATACTTCAGATTCTGCTGAGGCCATCAAAGTTGGCACCACGCCTATCTCATACTTCCTTTCCTGGAGATTAGTGACAATTAAATGATATTGTAATGGAGAAAAACACAAAGTTTGGCCCAGAACGTGATTCTTCCAAGAATCCAGCAGACAGCCCAACGAGAAAGGGCTGTCTAACAGAACATTCCACAGTAGTGTTGGTTCTACAGCTACACAGTCCAACATGGCAGCCCCTCACCACCAGTGGCTGCCCTGCTATGGCTAATGTGGCTGAGGAGCTGAATTTTCTATTTTACTTCATTTCAATAGCCACTTAGATCTGGCAGCTGCTCTTTTGGACAACACATGTTTTACCTCCCTGCATGATATCCAGCCTCAGGTCCTAAATTATTTCCCTGACTCTAGGGTTCAAGTCTGTCTGTCTGTCCCCAAAATGGACTTGGCCTTGGTTGGGAGCCCAAGCCACTGGGAGTGACCTCAGCTTTGGAGTTCTCTCACTACCTCTTACATCTCTCTGGTTTGTTCCCAAGAAGGGAATATAATAAGAATCAGCATTAGAAGGAGAAAGAATATGATCAAAACATGCTATTTGTAAAAAAAAAAAAAAAAAAAAAAAAAAAAAATTCTCTATAAGAAAAAGTCACAATAAATTTACGGGCAAAAAATAACATAAAGTCATTTTCAAAAGAAAATAATCAGCATTGACTACTGATTACCAAGAACCCACAGTCAGTCCTGGGGAAGGGCCTTGGCATCTTGAGCCAAGCAGGCTGGTCCATTTGGAGCTCTCTAGGCATTGGCTGCTTGGTTAGTCTAAGATCCACTCCTGCCTTCCAGGGGTACACTATCCAGAAAGAAGGCTGCAGACAAATATGAGCTGCCTTCCCAGAGTGCTTGTGTCCTCCAAGCATGAGTGTGAGTCTTCCCTGGACAGGGAAACTCATCTGAAAGTAAAGGCAATTTGGGCTGAGAGTTTGTGCTTTCAGACTACTGCAACTTTATCTCCAGAAGCCTTGGTCAGAAAACAAACCACAGTCTGGTCATCCCATCAGCATCCACTGTTGCTTGGCTCCATGAGGGGCTAAAGTACAATGCTGGCTGAGTCTCCCATTCTGAAATAGTTCCCTGGGAGCCACAAGTACACAGAATACTTTTCTTTTTGTATGATTGGTGTGTGTGTGTGTGTGTGTGTGTGTGTGTGTGTGTGTGTGTGTGTGTAGTCAGATTTTTTTTTGGGGGGGGGGCACCAGCACACAAACAATAACATGGAGGCTTAAGCCTTAACTTATGCTTGTTTTTAACTAGCTCATACTTTAAATTAACCCAACTATTAATCTACATTCTGTCACATACTGCCCATCCTGCTTCCTCCATGTCTCCTCATGTCTCTCGCATGTGACTAGATTACTCCTCCTCTTTTTTCCTGAAAGTCCTGCCTATACCTCCTGCCTAGCTATTGACCATTCAGCTATTTATTATACCAATCACAGCAATACACCTTCACATAGTGTACAAATATCCCACAACGTGTGTGTGTGTGTGTGTGTGTGTGTGTGTGTGTGTGTGTGTGTGTGTAAATGTCCATGTGGGTGCCCTTGGAGGCCAGAAGGTGAGTCAGATCCCTTGGAGCTGGAGCTACAGGCATTTGTGAGCTGTCCAATGTGAGTTCTGGAATCTGAACTCTGGTCCTCCAATAGAACAGCAGTCGGTATTAACCATTAAGCCACCCCTCCACCCTCAACAACTACTTTTCTATCTACCACACATAGACGTGTCTGTTCCTTTGGTACATGTCCATCATCATGAGAATAGTGAATCATAGATGCTAATAGTACCACTTCATTCTCTATGTACAAACGCTTTCTAATTGCTCATCTTTTCAAACATTTGCTTAGATATTATCACTGGTTTGCTCTATCATCTTATATTTTTGGTTGTGAGCCTAGCCTTTAATGGCTGAGCTATCCCTCCAGCCCTGCTCTATCATCTAAAAGCACAGTTTGTACATAGAATATAGACAGTAGGTATTAACTATCATGAAATTGTTAGGAATGTCTAACTTTTCAATTGTCACTACAAGATATTATTTCTATCATATTTTGTACACAAAAATAATTACTTTGAGCCTTTTCTATGTTGAGGCCCATCAGTTGATGTCTATCCTTGGACCCTATGTACCTAAAGACAAGTAGAGGTCAAAGAATAAAATATTTAAATCTTTTAAGACTTAATTTATGTCCCAAAGAGTCTGTAGAAATTAGAATTATGACAAAGGAAGTGATCAGTCCATCATAGACCTATAAGCTTGTTGCAGCAAAACACCTATGGGATATGCAACAAACCAGGTGGTTGAGCAGTGTGAATGAGGCTGGGTACATAGGTTGGCAGTGATGTGGTAGAGCTGTGCCAGTGTGAGTGCCCACCATAGCTACACAGAGGGCTGTGCCTGGAGGGAAGTCTCTCAAGTAGAGCTGAATACATAGGGCCACTCTCCTGAACTCCTTAGCAAGTTCAGGTTAGAATTTGTTTTAGAAGGAGTCCAGTGAGGAATTAAGCAAATGCGAGGATATCACCATAATGATGGGGAGCCTCCTCTCACCATCAATGCCTTCTTCCCACTCCTGCTGCCCTAGGATGAGCTATTGTCCCCCATACCATGCCATGCCCCTACCTCCTTCCACCTTGGAAAGGGGTTGGCTGAAGTATGACTTCCAGGATGCTCCAAGTCAGGTGCCAAGTTGCAGGATGGGTTCAAGTCTCTCCACTGAATATACATGTCTCAAAGACTTGGGGTAACTCCCAGGACCATGGGAACGCTAGCATAGCCCTTGAGTGTTCTCAGTCAATCTGTCTCCCTCAAAATTAAATAGCAAATTAAAAGGTCACCATGAGGGCTGAGGAGATGGCTCAAGGGGTAAGAGCATTATCTACACAAGTATGAGGACCTGAGTTCAAATCCCCAGGACACACGTAGAAAAACAGGATGTACCTACATACACAGCTGTAACCCCCTGAGGACAGAGACAGGAGAATCACTGGAGCCTTCTGGCTGCTGACCTAGCTCCAAGTTCAGTGGGAGACCCTGTCTCAGGGGAATATGACAGAACAGTGCACCCTCTGTCTTCCTGTGACTTCTGTGTTCAAGTATGCATGTGCATACACACATGCACATAAACATAAATAAATAAATAAATCCCATGACAGAGTGATAATCTAGGTAATAAAGGAAAAGACTCTTGGATCTTTTCTAAACAAGGGGCCTCACATTTTCATTTTGTGCTGTGCCCCACAAATGGCAGAGCCAGACCTGAATAGAACTGAGGCTAGACAGGTGGGTTGGAGACAGATTGGCAGGGCTCTGCTGCCGCCATGCTCAGCCAGTACTTTGTAAGCCAAGGCTGGCATACTTTTTCTGTGAAGGGCCAGATGGTAATTATTTCAGTCTATATGGCCATATGCTCTCAGATGCAATGACTCAACACCACCATTATAATGCAAAATCAGGAAGAGACAATACAAAATGCAACACATAGAGCTATGTTTAAATAAAACTTTACTTAAAAATACAGAGGGCTGGGTTTGGTCTTCAGGCCATGTTTGCCATCTCCCATTATAGACAAAGGGGTGTGCCTTAACAGAAGAAAGGCACAGAATCTGAGAATTTTCTAGAAGGTTAACTTGACTTTACTGGGGAGAAGAGGATTAGCCTAATGGGTGTTCTAGAAGACAATGTTACTAAACTCCAATTCCAAGAAGCCAGGGACCAAGATTCAGCAGTGGCCATGGATTTGGAGAAGGAGAACAAAGCAACATGAACATCCCCAGGGGCTGACATCCAGGTCACTGGCCCAACTTGCATGCTTTCTTCCACAGAAGAAAAAAAGAACAAGCGGAGAGTTCGCACTACCTTCACCACGGAGCAGCTACAGGAACTGGAGAAACTCTTCCACTTCACCCACTACCCCGACATCCATGTCCGGACCCAGCTGGCTTCCAGGATCAACCTGCCCGAAGCTCGAGTACAGGTATAGTGCCCAACTTCCACCAAATCTCATGCTGGTCCTCAGACCTCCAGGACTGCCCCAACTGAAACTGCCACTGGCTATCTCCTGGGTAGCCATCATAGCCAAATATGTCTTTCCAGGCAATGAGATCACCCTCATTTAATAAAGGATCTCTCCTTTGGGGTGGCAATGTAATGGATAGACATCAGTGTTCTCCATCCATCTCTGTCCCCATGCCCTCCCTCTCAGCGTATTCATGCTTCTAAAGGTTACGCACACTATCAGCCATAGCAGTTGAGGATTGGGGTCAACCAACATTTTTACTAAGAGTAATCACTTTGGGTTTTGCTAGACATACAATCACTGTCAGAGAGGGCCATTTTCCCTGGCATAGCAGCCTGAGAGCAACCACAGCCAAGGCAGAAACAGGTGAGCATGGTGGCATTCCAACAAAACTTTATTTACAAGTGTTGAAATTTTGTTTTTTGTACAAGTTGCAGGTGTTATAAAATAATATAAAATACTATTCTTTTTGTTTCTTTTCTCAATGATTTAAAGCTATGCAAGTCACTCTCAGCTTGAGGACTACTCAAACACTTGGAATGGCAGGTGTAGCTTACCAGGGTACTGTTGGCCAGCCTAGTAAAGAACACCTCCATGTCTCCTTGGCAGAAGCAGAGAAGTAGACAGACCAAGGATCCATGGTCAGAGACAGGGATTCCGCACTAACAGCCCAATCTAACATCTGTCATCTCTTTACCCCAGAGTATCCACTCCTCTGTCCATGCTTGGATATACCATAGCCCTTTGTCACCACCAGGGTAGACCTGGTGCCCTCTTTTAGATACATTCTGTTTCATAAGTCCCAGGCTGGCATGAGAGGGTCTGCTATATCCAACAGTAACACTGTCAGCACTCTCTCTGAACACAGAGGCTTCTACATCATTCTTTAAAAAAAAAAAATGCAGTGCATTTGTCCTCACTCAAAATCAAAATCCAGCCTGACGTACCACTTTTTATCCAACCTCCTTTCCTGCTGGCTAGAGCCCAGCCTAGCCTCAGCCGACTCCCCTCTTCCTCCTACTTGGAACTGTGCTCCAGCTGAGTGTTTAGCACCTGTGTCTGCCATCAAATCTAGAATCCAACACCTGCCTCCCCAGAATCACTAAGTACAAATGGCCGCATGTCAGAGACCATCAGGGCGCCCAGGAATGCAGAGATCTGCCAATGTTCAACCTATAGACGCCAAGTGGCCCACAGGGGTTGCAAACTGGTGGCCTGCTGGTGGAAAACAGCCCACAGATGGGTTTTGTTTGGCCTGCACTGCATCTGAAAACTCAAAAGCGTTCACATAAAAAAATAAAAATCAAGATTCTTCACACTGGAGACTGTATGAGTCTGACATGCTAGCTGTTTCCAGGTGGCAGCTGTTTGCAGGACCTAAGATCCTCTTTAGGCTTTGTTCACCACAGACCCTACCCAACCCTTCTCAGTTATCACTCATGCATGTCCCCACCCCATTCCCACCCAGAAGACTGTGACCCTGGTCTCTTCCCTCAAGTCTCTAGACTCCACATGCAAACAACTTCCCCTCCCATCGTATGATTTTATAAACTATGAAGTGCTTATTCTTTAGGGGATGCCAGTGTTCTGCATTTACACACATCCATTTTCTTTCCCTGACCACAGATCTGGTTCCAGAATCAGAGAGCCAAGTGGAGGAAGCAGGAAAAGACTGGCAGCCTCAGTGTATCGCAGCAGCCTGGTGAAGCCAGCTTGACCCTGTCCTCAAACATGGACATGGCTGTGAGTGGCCCAGTCCTCAATTGGGGTTGGAGGGACAGTCATCTGGGTGCATCTCACCCAGGCCCTGATGTGAGGAGGCCCTGGGCGAGGTGCCTACAGTACCAAACACAATGGAAATCCTTCCAGAAATAGAAAGACCAAGGAGATGCCTGGAAGAGGGGATCAGGGGCAAGTGGCTGGCTAGTTGGCTCTCCCTTTGAATGACAGGAAGGAGTGGTTTTGAAACTTGTACAAAATTTCACAGTTCACAAAACAGAGTCACAGGGTAAAGGATAGAACATGGGGGGTTGGGCAGCCAGCTCTAAAGTAGACTGCCCAGTTTCAAATCTCAGTTCAAATCCCACATCACAGTGTAGCATAGAAGTCATCTTGCTCCTTAGAGTTCAGTACTAAAGTTTTGACCAAGATGAAATGACTAAGATCTGGAACACTCTATTCATGGTCTGCTACTGAAGAAGTGGATCTCTGAGGAGTGAGGTGACATCCCAGACACATGGTTGCTATTCATGCTGTGAGGATTAGGTCCAGGTCGGTATGCCTGGGCCATACCGGATGATGAAAGTCCTAGGCAGGCAGGACAAGCTAGTCACACTACCCACCACCCACTACCTGAGTCATGGAGGCACCTGGAAGGCAACAGGAACAGTCCTTGGTAAAGGTGGAGACTCATTGGTCCCCTCTGGTCTCTCCTAACAGGGTCCTGTGCTGACACCCAAGGCTCTGCCCATGTTGGTGCCTCCCACAGGGTGCTATCCACTCTCTCAGACTCAGCTCACTTCAGGCTGGTTCCCTGCCCAGATCACCCTTGTCCCATGGCACCCATGGGATCCGCAGCCCTTGCCTGGCTCTCTCACCCAGCAGCCTTGTGTCCCTTCCCTTGCTCTGCCACCTCCATACCCCAAGTGGGGCAGCATCTGTGCCACTTCAACATAGGGACTGGTTGCTCTCTTCCCAAGCAAGCTACTCTCCTCTCCCAGTAATGGCAGGCAGCCTTGGCTCTCAGAGAAAATCACTCCATAATCCATCAATGGCGCACAGCCCAGGAAGCTACCCAGAACTTTGCCACGGAAGACGGCACTGTCATGACAGGAAAAGACAACACACATCTCACCAGCCAAAGTCCTTCTCCCAGCGCAGAAGCCTGGCTGCCTGAGGGCTGGGGAGGAACTCCAGAATAAGCTGCTTTCCATTCGCCCTGTGCTTCCTCTAACAGCTGTGCCACCTCCAGCTGGTCACTCACACCCTCTGGACCTCATCTGTAACACAGCAGCCAGACAGATTATTTCTGAGGACCCTCTTCTCCATTACTTTGGGGAGATGAGCCCTGGGAAACACACGTCATGGGGAGGCCCAGGAGGGGCTGCACATCCATGCATTCATTCATGACCTCTGTACTGACCACTGAACATTGTGGGCCACTTGGAAATAGATGTGGAGCTGAACAGATAGGCTTCTTCCCAGGTCAGTTGAAAGGTGATGCTGACCTCTGCCTGCAAACAGATGTCGGTGACCTTGGCTCGTGTCTAGCACATCACTAATGACTTTGGTATGAAAAATCTCAGAATGGAAGAAAAATAGAAGAAACGTTTTTAATTTAAAACAGAGTTTAGTGTCTTTGTCATTTGCTGGTCTGGGAAGGGCTGTCCCATCCTCATTGGCATTACTGGCAGGGAAGACAGCAAAGTTCTTTGTGCACACAGGACCCTGCTAGCTTGTTTGGCTCTGTGCTGAAAAGCCCTGTGTTCAGGTCTGTTTCTTTCCAGAGTGGTTCTCAACCTGTGGGTAACAACCACTTTGGCAAACTTCTATCTCCAAAAATATTTAAATTATGACTTCTAACAGTGGCAAAATTACAGTTATGAAGTAGCAACAAAGTAATTTTATGGTTGGGGGTCACCACAACATGAAGAACTATATTAAAGGGTTGCAGCATTACAAAGGCTGGGAACCACTGTTCTAGACAGACCACATGTCCTGCCTGAGTCTGGTTCTTGTCTCTAGGATGGAGGCAGCAGCTCCCTGCTGACCTGTAGTACACAGCAACCCAGAGACACTGGGAGGAGGGGAGTACACCTTACAAGTGTGAAGGCAAGCAGACACTGGAATGGTGTCGGCATCTCATGCTTTACTGGGCAGGTGATGGCTTGGGTCCCCACCCCAACAGTTCCTACTCCCAGGGAGGCCTCCTGCTCAGCTATTTTTCTGCCTGGAAGTCTCAGAGGCTTGTCATTATTGCTCCCCTCAGCTGGGCAGCTGAGGATGACCTCTGTGTATAGCTCCAGACTAAGTTCTAAAAAATGTGTCCTGAATCCAAAAACACCTGAAATGTGCAGGAGCCCTGACCTACCCCGGAGTTGGGCCAAGAGTTGCGAAGACTAGGTCTTAGCTCTGTTTTACCCTCTAATTTGTATCTGGGCCTCAGTTTCCCATCTGTAAGTTAGGGATAGCAGTGCCAGCTCTGCCCTGGGGTACCCAGTATGACAGAACTACAGACCACAGCTCCTCTCACTGAGAAGTGCCAACTTGAGCCCTTGAGATTGGAACCTGACCTACCGATAACTCTGGGTGGCAGGAGAAGGCAGGGGTGGACGGAGAAACACAAAAGGAAGTTAACTCAAAAGGCTCATAATTGGGCAGCCTGTTGTATTGTGTCACTGTGACAAAATGCCTGAGATAAACTATTTATAAGGAGGAAAGGTTTAGGGGTTGAAGATCAAAGTCCTCTGACAATGTTGCTTTGGGCCAATGGTAGCACAGTACCTCACAGTGGAGGGTGTGATAGAGACCTGTCACTTCATAGCCACCAGGAAGCAAAGAAAGCAGGAAGGGGCCAGGGTACCAGCATCCCCTTTAAAAAGCACACCTTCAGCAATCCAGCTTCCCCAACTCCTAAAGGTTCTGTCACTTCCCAGGAGCACCTCAGACTAGAAACAAGCCTTTAGCACATGGGCCCTTGGAGACATTTAGGCTCAAAACCATGACACAGGAGTCCATTTTGTGGCCAGAAGTCCACTATACAGATGCAACTTAGCAAGAAATGTATTCTAGTAGTTTCTAGGTTGTTTATCAGTAACTCAGATACTCCCAGTTTAGTAGCCAAATCCCCCAGGGGTTGAACTCAGGTCATAAGGTTTTGCCCTTACCTTTTGAGCCATCTTGTCAGCCTTGGAAATGAATTGCTCCTCTACAAGAAACTCAGCTTCAGCACTTGTAGGAGTCGGAGGCACATCTTCTCCCCCAAGCACTTCCTATTTTCTTACCCATACCCCTGGGACAAAGGAGTCACTTCCAAATCCTTATCAGCCATGTAACCTCAGACAGCAAATGGCATGTCCTTCCATCTACTTCTCCCCTGAATAACAAGTTTATTGCCTCTGTGAGAGACTGTGACAAGTACATCAGAGTCTCTGGCACATGGCAATAACTCAACATGTATGGGGAGGGTCATTTTCCCGAACACCCTTTTAACCCCTCTGCTGCTTGGAGCAGCTACTCTGACCCGAGGTGCTATCCCAGGAGCTCTTGACTCCATTTCTGGAATGACAAAGAACTCTCAAAGGAGTGATCAAAATCATGAGTGTGTTTCTTCTTCCCTGGGAAAGGCACACCTCCTTTGCTAGCTTCTCTGAGGCTCAGAGTAAGTTCTTATCAGGAATCCTGACAGACAGGCTGAGTTGAATTCTGACAAGCTCTAACTTTAGCATAAAGATCAGTGAGAGAATGCAAGGGTCACTAATTTATCTTTTTTTATTTTTAATCATTGTATATGCATCATATGTATGTTTGTGCATGTTTATGTGTATGAACACAGGTATGCATGCGTTGCCGTTTACATGTGGAGGCTAGAGGACAACCTCACACTTGACACAGAGTCTCTTGTTCACACAGCTATTGCCCCAGGAATCACTTAGGTGAAGGAAAGAAGGGAGGGAGGGAAGAAGGGCAAAGCTGGTGTGGAAAAGACAGTTCTTAAAACCAGACTCCGGGGGGGGGGGGGGTCACACAAAAAAGCCAGGGATGCTGGGAAGACAACAGCCCAAGCGCCAATGTCTGCAGGTCCATCTTGACCAGTGGTTCTCAACCTTCCTAACGCTGTGACCCTTTAATACAGCTCCTTATGTTGCGACCTCAAACTGTAATTTTGCTATTATGAATTGTAATGTAAACATCTGATATGCAGGATAACCCCTGTAAAAGGGTCATTTCAGAACCAAGGGGTCGTGACCCACAGGTTGAGAAACACTGTTATAGACTAAGAAAAGCCTTGTTCTGTGTGGCCCCCAGGACAACGCCAGGGCCAATATGAAAAGGAAAACATAATAGACATAAGTCCAACCCCAAGAACTAAGAGAGAAGCTTCCCAAAGGCCTTTTGTGCTCCCCACCTCTCCAGTTCCTCTCCCAGATATGCCCCTCAGAACCCTGCATTGGGAACATGTCATCACTGAGGCCCCTGGACTGCATTGGGAACATTCCTATCTCTGCCCTTTGCCCTGCTCATCCCTCAGCCAGGAATGCCGACCCCACTTTGTGGGTACGTCTTTCCACTTCTGTGTCATGTCCCCATTCAAAGGATATCCCCTCTGTCTTCCTAAATAAGTCTCCTCTGAAATTAGAAAATCTTTTACATAATCCAATCAAAGAATGTCTAATATCTCTTACATGCATGTGATTTTGTAGCTTGGAAAAAGTTATCTTTATAGATAGAAATCATAGATAAGTCCTTCCTTATCTTTTATGATGGCTCTTCTTTCTCACTCCCACAGCACTGTGAACCTTCTTTGTGATGATATGGCCCTGATTCTGAAGTCCTACCCTGTGCCTGTCCAATGACACAGGCTCACTACATCAGAGAGGCAATGTGACTTGCACAACATCACACAGCAGATGTCTATATTTAGAATTCATTTCTGCCTGATACCAAAGTTTGGAACCACTATACATACAGAACTATAATGATACAGTTAATGTGTGTGTGTGTGTGTGTGTGTGTGTATATATATATATATATATATATATATATATATATATATATATGGCTTATAAATAATGCAAACATGTAAATTGTGTACAAAATCTGTAACCATATAAATTCATTATGTGGTAGGCTATGTATCTACTGTATATGTGTAGCCTCCCATGTTTACTATATCTGTTCTCCTTTCTAGTGCCATGTGAGGTGAATGACTAAATTCTGTTCTGTGATTAGACATCTTTCTATTCCACATCCAATTGTCTCTCTGACTCCCACTGTTATGATTTTCTACACAGTTAGAAGAAACAAATCGAACCAGACCCCAGTACTCTATAAGAGAGATCGGAACTTGGAGACAGACTGGCAGGGGCTTACCATGACTCCAAGAAGCTAATGGAATGGTAGAGGGAAGTTGGGACACCACACAGGTACCACTGTAGTTACCTCTGCCAGATGAGGCTGTTCTAAGGACTCACCAGGAGGGCCCTGACCGCTGGGTGACCCCTGGGTGGGGAGGAAGGTTACAACCCTCTTATCACCAGAAGGTAATAAAGTCATTTCATGGCAATTAGAAACCTAACCAATTTAAGTCATTTACAGCTCCAAACAATTACACAGGGATCCTTATCCCCAAGAACACCAAGATGTTTGAAGTGGAACATAATGGCCTCAGGTAGGAGTAGACAGGAGGGAAAAGATGGTGACCAGACCTGAGAAGGAGATTTATTTATGTTTAATTAGCATGCACAGTAACTGGTTCTCTTGTGGCATTTTCATGCTTAGTTTTGGTCGATTCCTCCACTCTCAACTCTCCCAGGCTCCTTGTCCCCATCTGCATTTGTACCTTTCTGATTCCAGTATTCCTCACTTCCACATTCATACCACGTGAGCTCTATTATCACCCCCCTCCCTTGGAACCCCCCACTCCCCAGCCTCACAGGTCTCTTTCTAGTTTTCCATCCTCTACACACACTCCCACATAAATGCACATATATGAAACTTAGAAACTAGGATCTGCATATGAGACAGAATATGTGATATTTGCCTTTCTGAACCTGAGTCAACCCACTTAATACCATATTTTCAATTTCCATCCTCCTTAAGCATCTGGCTCACTCCATCAGATGCAGGCTACTTGCGTGTGACTGTAGGTATTTCGGGAAGGGTACCCAAGTGAATACAGGTTCTGACCAGGGCCTCCTTCCTAGAAAAAGGGACCTGTCATGTGTCCCAGGTGCTATGAAGGTCCACAGGACAGAAAGCAGGCTCCTCAGGAGATCTTAACTCAATGACACCCAGGTGCCTCTGACTGTGACCACTGAACCTCTTCTCCCACCAGGAGTCCATGAACATACAACGAAGCTGGAGAAGTGCGTATCTGATCATCACGCTGTCCCCTTGAGCTAAGGCTAGACTGAATGGGATCCTGATCCAAAGCCCTCCATGATCTTAGTGTGGGGACTTTCCCTAGCAAAGATCAGTCAGCTACCTGGGGGTCACCTTTGAAAAACAATGGGGAAGACCCCACTTGAGGGGACCTGGAGAAATAGGCAATAAAGGATAAAAAGAATCTGTAACAAGTCAAAACACAGGTCACCAAC